TATATATTTATATATATATATATATATATATATATTATATATATATATATATATATATATATATATATATATATATATATATATATATAATATATATATATATATATATATATATATATATATATATATAATATATATATATATATATATATATATATATATATATATATATATATATATATATATATATATATATATATAATATATATATATATATATATATATATATATATATATATATATATATATATATATATATATATATATATATATATATGTATATATATATATATATATATATATATGTATATATATATATATATATAATATATATATATATATATATATATATATATATATATATATATAATATATATATATATATATATATATAATATATATATATATATATATATATATATATATATATATATATAATATATATATGAATGGTAATATTATTTAATAAAATTGTTGTTTTGCTCTCTTGAATTATTATTAAAATATAGATTGTTAATGCAGGCAGCATGGAGTGGTTTCCACTGTGAAGCATGTAATGGTGTGACCACTTGGACTGGAGACAACAAAAGCACCTTTGGTATTATTGAGGAAGAAGGTGTTCTGCTATGCCTGCAGTGCCACAGGCTTGGAAGACCTCATCAGCATTTCATTGAGAGCTGTAGACTAGTCATCGCTCTCCAGGAACAGGGTGTGTAATTGTTTGATAAATGACTGGCTTAAATATTGACCAGTAAATGTTTGATTTTGGAATCTCTAACTGTGGTCAGGGCTGAATGTTTTTCCATAGCAGCATTTCTACCGTTCTGTAAACATTAGATGATAAAGAAAAACGATTAAAATAATGAAATTTAATCATACACTATGATAAATGGATCAATAGTTTATTACAGTAACTGTTGCTAGGGTCAGGTGGTGATGATTATAGGATTTCCTGCATTACTTTTTTGTTCATTGCATTGCATAAAATAATAAACAATAGATGAGTTGTTAAGATAATGATGTAACAGCATTCAACAACCTAAAATTTAAAGGCTCTGCCTTTGGTAATGCGTGGCTGGAAGATCCATCTGAAGTAACGTTAGATGAAATTTCCAACGCAATGATGTTTGGTCTCCCACATATAAGTTCATACCAGGATGGTTTCAGGAATTTTTATGTTGAATTTATTTTAACATAGGAAAATATTTCAGTATTGCTTTAGATACTTTAATTTTCATCTAACCATATATAGTCATAAAAACTAACAAAAATACAGCCTACAGAAGAAAATTCTGAAATGATGTCACCATCTGTTGGTTATCTCTTGTTTCTGTTTAGCAGACAAATTTCCATAGAATTGCAGCCCTGACTGGAAAAGCATTGCATTTTTAACCCCATGCCACTGGGGATGACATTTGTGTACATGCCATGCCCACTGTGTTTGATTTAATAATTGTTTTTACTCATAGATTGCTCCACAAGTACTTAGTCAAAATTGAGCCAATTATGAGTACTGCCCATCTCACTTGTTTACCCTTTTCCTTGATTTTCTAAAACATTTTCTGGTATCTAATGTTGCTGTTAGTAATGTCAGTAATACTATCGTAATTTTGATGTCTAAAATAAAAATAAAAGATTACTTCTGCAGGGATAAGGGAACTTAAAGTTCATGCACCACAAAATATGAATATGCCCTAGAAGGTCATTTACCTCATAGGATTAAATTATATATCATGTAATTTACTTGTATTCTACACATTTTATTCCTTGGACACAGCTGAAGAGGATTTACAAAAGGGAGATATACCGTCAGCCATCACTGGTCTTAGGAAAGCTATTGCTCTTGGAACCAAAGTTTATTTGGCAGAAAATCAGTATTTTGTGTCACTGCAAGACACATTGGCACGGTGTTTGGGTGAAGCGGGTAGGTACACACAGCAGGTGTTTTGTTGTATTATTTATATATGTGTACAGCATTATTGATTCTGTAATTTGTGTTTTTGGGAAGAGTATGAAGGAAATTGAATAATTTCAATTAAATAAATTATTTCTTTAGCTTCATGAAGATATCTATTTTTGCACATACTTATTTACACTTCTATACTTAGTCAGTGACACTTCAGCTATTTTATAGAAAATATAAGATTTGTAAGTATGCATGGAGAATAAATATATGGTGACATAATATGGTTATCAGACTTTGTGAGTTGAGTAGATGTTGAGAAATTGACAAATGGGTTTGAATGAGAATTTTTTAAAATACAAAACCTCTGACATAACTGATATTCCAGTACAATTCCAATTAGAACTGTATATACAAGCATGATTATGAATATATTTGAAGGGGGGAAGAGCTAAGAAATTGCCTAATATTGATGACCTGTTTTAGTTGCTACATGTGTGACATCACTCCTACTATGGGCAATATGAAATTGTGATGTACATAATCCTTTTTTCTCTATGATACCAACATTATGGGATGATTATGCTGTGGTCAGTTGTAGGAAGGAAGCTTCTAGGGTACTGGTGCTTCATGAATAATTCTGGAGTGTAAAATCCATAGTGCCCTGAATGAGAAACTTATACAATTCCTGATCTGTTTTTTATTGTGTACATAGCAGTAGTGATTTTAGAAATAGCTTCTAGGTATTTTATCAGCTAGTTGGATCATATTTTCTTGGAAAGGAAGATTTTGACTCTTTTCTTTATTCTAATGGAATATTACTTGTAAACGTATTTGTGTTCAAAACATATTTGTATTCAAAACATATTAGTTTTATCTTGTTTGACATATACTATTCTTTGTTTTCTCTTAACAAGGAGACTATGAAGGCTGTTGCCATGAACTAAGAAAGTGTCTGCAAGTCACAGAATCTCGCTATGGAGCAGAAAGCGTTGAGCTCGGACATGAGTTGCTGAAATATTCAGATGCTTTGGCTTTGGCCTTGGCTGGTAGTAAAAGGTTTGTTGGATATTTTTGTCTAGAATAATAGCCTGAATCTTTAGCTATGTGACATCACTGAATTAAATTAATATAGAAAAGATATATAAGTGTATTTTTAAGGTGTATAAATTTTCGGAAAAATATATATAGACTGACAATTGTATGGGTATTATGTGATGTATATTTATTCCAGACATGAAGATTCACTTTCAAAAGTGAGAAGGAGAGTAGACGAGATCTTCACACTGAACTATGGGCCTCATTGGAAGAAGTATATGGGTACTGAACATAAGGAATAAGATTAATATTATGTAACAAATAATCAAAGTGTAAATGACTCAGTTCATTGCAATAAAGTCTACATATTCTTCACACAATCACTGATTTAAATACTAAGGCATAATCTTTACTACCCATACCATTAAATGTACATATGAAAAATTCACACAAAACAGAAAAAAAGATGAATAAAGATAAATGGCAAAAACATAAAAAATTTAATTTAGTTTCCTTTGCTACACAACATTTTTCATAAACTGGTTTTTATATTTGTACTTCAGAAATATAGGTTACATGCTCCACTTGCCAAATATTCCTTACAATTGCAGTCCATCTTTACAAAATATTTTTTTTTATTTTGTAGAATGCCACTTTTCAACCAGTGTACAATGACTGAGGAGAAAAAAATATATATATGAACTTATTTTGGGTCCTAATAAAGTCTCTATACTTGTTGTGTTTTGTGTTCAGCCATGTATTATGTAACATTAAATGTTTTAATCATAGGACAAGTTATTATTATTAAACTCCCCCCCCCCCCCCCAATCCCAGCCTGTTGTTGTCGTGGGGGGAGCTTAGGAGATGAGGACTGGAAACCAATGCTGGGGATCTCCCCACCCTTGGGCCTTAGCCCCCGAATCAACTAATATTGCATGGTCTTTTCCCCCTCCTGCTCTTTCGTTTTCCATCCCTTCTCACCGATGCTAATACCCCCTCAGATGCGACGCTTATGAACAACTGGATCCAGGGGCTGGGGGGCTCGATTCCCCTATTCCAGCAGTGCCTCCAGAAACAAGTTTAGCTTTCGCAATCGTTCACGTCTTGTCACAGTTACCCCCAAGCTCGTGCAGACCTTACTGGGTCAGGAGACGAAGACAGACCTAATACAGGGATCTCCCCTGCCTAGGGCTTCAGCCCTCGACTCAACTAATTTTACATGGTCTTTTCCCCCTCCAGTTTTTTGTTTCTGTCCCTTCTCCAACCCCCTTCTACTATCAACTTCCTAAGGTGTAAGAGCCGTGCTGAAAGGATGAAAGGCTGACCTTGTGCCAGTCCTGAATGGCCTGCGGGAACTATGGGCACGGTACTCCCAATTTATTTGTCTAGCCCTTACCTTCAAGTGAATGGAGGTGGACCATTTATGCCATTTTATATAATCAAGGTTCCCCATGACCAGTAATGAAGATTTAATCCCCTTATTAGGGGCAATGAGGCTTGCCCCTTTGTCAAATAGCCCCACCCCAGGCTCTCCTTTGACCACGACTCCAAACACTTGTTGTGTTTTGTGTTCAGCCATGTATTATGTAACATTAAATGTTTTAATCATAGGATAAGTTATTATTATTAAACTCCCCCCCCCCCCCAATCCCAGCCTGTTGTTGTCGTGGGGGGAGCGTAGGAGATGAGGACTGGGAACCAATGCTGGGGATCTCCCCACCCTTGGGCTTTAGCCCCCGAATCAACTAATATTGCATGGTCTTTTCCCCCTCCTGCTCTTTCGTTTTCCATCCCTTCTCACCGATGCTAATACCTCCTATTTGACGCTTATGAACAACTGTAACCATTCTGAAACACCCGTCCAGGTTATTACTCAACCCTTAGAAAACACCTCTTCCTCATCCCCAACTTTCTCCTCTTCATCCCCTGCTGCACAACCCTCTTCAATGTCAACCCCCTCTTCTAAGTACTCTAATTGGCCCAGCCAAGTGGGATCGATTCCGTGTGATTCCCCCCCACAGCCCCCTATTCTGAGAATACCCTTCTCTTTCAGCAGTGCCTCCAGAAACAAGTAGACAAGGTTAGCTTTCGCAGTCTCTCTGATCGTTCACGTCTTGTCACAGTTACATCGGAAGCCCAAGCTCGTGCACTATTTACCCTAACTGACCTTACTGGTAAACCCATTCCTGCCGAACCCCCCCAATCCCTTGTCCGTTGTTGTCGTGGGGGGCTTAGGAGACGAAGACAGACCTAATACAGGGATCTCCCCTGCATAGGGCTTCAGCCCTCGACTCAACTAATTTTACATGGTCTTTTCCCCCTCCAGTTTTTTGTTTCTGTCCCTACTCCAACACACTTCTACTATCTACTTCCTAAGGTGTAAGAGCCGTGCTGAAAGGATGAAAGGCTGACCTTGTGCCAGTCCTGAACGGCCTGCGGGAACTATGGGCACGGTACTCCCAATTTATTTGTCTAGCCCTTACCTTCAAGTGAATGGAGGTGGACCGTTTATGCCATTTTATATAATCAAGGTTCCCCATGACCAGTAATGAAGACTTAATCCCCTTATTAGGGGCAATGAGGCTTGCCCCTTTGTCAAATAGCCCCACCCCAGGCTCTCCTTTGACCACGACTCCAAACACTGAAACTACTACCCATTCCTCAATGCCTACTAGTGCATTACCCACCCAAGCAGAGACTCAATCTCCGGAAGACATTCCTACCCTCCCAACTTCCTTAAATCCATCAACTCTAACCCCACAACCTTCATCAAGCACCCCATCCTCCCTTATTACTACCTTACAGCCTTATTCTCCATCACTTTGTAATACTCCATCTTCCACACGCCCCCGACCAACCACCTCCACCAACCCTACAGATATCTTAAATACTCTGTTTAGCCCAGCTAAATGATATCGATTTTTCCTTACTCAGGAAGCACTCTTCTCTTTCAACAATGCCTCCAAAAACAAGTGGGCAGAGTCCCTTTCTATACCAGACGCGATCACTCCCGTCTTGTAACAGTCAGATCAGAAACTGAATCTATAGCACTATCAAATTTAACTGATCATTCTGGCAACCCCATTCCTGCAGAACCTCATCCAACCCTTCAATACTTGTACCGGAACTGTCTCTCTCTCCCCAGCAAACTGCCCAGTCGATACCAAAGATTGGTCAGAATGTGGAGAAGACTTATTAGGATGCCTCAAAGACCAAGATGTGAATTCGACCAACATTGCCAAAATTACTTTACGTACACATGACCTTCCCTTACGTATCTACATTAGTGGATAATCCCTCCCTGTTCGACCATACCAACCCCCTCCCCGTCAATGTCAAAACTGTTGGCGCTTTGGACATCCTGCCAAACACTGCCGTTCCACAGACCAATGCCCCATGTGTGTCCAACCTGGTCATAACCGATCAAACTGCTCAGCACAAACACGTACATGTGCTAACTGCGGCGGCCCCCATAATGTATTTTATAGAGACTGTCCCACTTACAAGTTTGAATCTGAGGTAGTAATTCTCAGATACAAAAATGGTTTCACTCTACGTGAAGCCAGACATGAAGCACATTGACAAGGTTTCTCTCATACTCCATACTCTTGTAACATTGTTCGCTCAGCCCCTCCCCCTCCACCCCAAGATGTCTCCATTTCCACTTTTACATTCTACCTCCCTCAGACCAATTCTTTTGCCACTCTAAATCCAGACACCCCAATCTCAACCACAGCTCCAGTCTCAACTACAGCCCCAACACCATCCCCTCTCCCTCCCCGCACTACCCGCAGTAGACAGACTAAACGTTCTAACCCTTCTTCCCCTACAGCACACTCACCTCCACTTACCTTTACCTTTATACCTGAGACACCAGTCTCCTTTTCCCCCCCTCATAAGAAAACCTTTGTCCTACAAAACTCCCCAACCAACTCCACTGCAGAAACAATGGATGACATTCAAAGATATATGCTTAAGACATAATATCCCATAACTCATGCTCCTTCCACACTTAGTGTGATTGCCGATATTCATACCCCTCCTACTAATACCCCCCCTACACCCCTTCCTCCTACTCCCTCTCAACACAACCTAACCCCCTCAATTCCGTCCACCACCTATATCCATCCTCCGAATACCCATTCTCTCGATATTATTCACAACACCTCTACACCCCTTCCTCCTAATCCCTCCCAAGACAACACATCCCCTTCAACTCCAACTATCCATCCTCCTACCACTAATACGCCCCCCACACCACTTCCTCCTACTCCCTCCCAACACAACCCACTCCCTTCAACCCCAACTAGACGCACATTCTCCCTCCCTCCATCCCCTCTATCCTTTCCACTCCCTCCCGGATACACATGAGAATCACTCATGTCACAACAACGCCCTTCCCCAGATTCCCTACCTCCTGATACCCCTCCTTTACACCCCCTAGCTCATTCACCCCCAGATTCCCCAACACGTACTGACGCTTTCACTCATAAAATCACTATGTAGCTCTCCTACATTGGAATATTCGCGGTTTCCGTTCTCACAGACCAGACCTACGTCATATCCTTGCTTTTTATAATCCATCTATTATCTGCCTCCTAGAGACTTTCCTCACTCATCCTCCTATTCCAATTCCCATTTACCATTTTATCTCTTCCCCACACTCCCTTTATGTCTCGTCTATACTTATCCATCATAAAACACCATATGTCATACCTCCCATACAAACTACTGTCCCGTGCACAGTTATTCGCATCTTCGCCACTGGATCACAGTGATTTCAGTCTACTTCTCCTCATCCCATCCCATTGACTTTGTTGCCTTTGAAACTCTTATTTCCCAACTCCAACCACCTTTCCTCGTAGTTGGTGATTTCAATTGCCGCCACACTCTGTAGGGTGGCTACCACCAACTCCCGAGGCCGATCTCTAGAACGCTTCCTCTCCACAAATAACCTAATTATTCTTGATTCACATGTGCACACATTCCTTTTCATGCCTTGACCTCTCTCTATGCTCTCCTACTTTACATCTAGATTTCCATTGGTCAATTCTAGACCACTTCCCCTATAGTGACCACTTCCCAGTACTCCTTTCTCCTACTTCATATGTACCACTTCCTAATCCTCCACGCTGGTGCTTTGATAGAGCTGACTGGCATACTTTCACTTCACTCTCTACTATACCTATCCCACCACCCCCTTACCATCCACTTCAGATATGCTACAATGTTTTACAACCACGATCCTAAGAGCTGCCTATACAGCCATTCCTCGAACTTCAAGACCTTATACCTCTAATTGTGTTCCATGGTGGAATTCTGATTGTACCAAAGCGCTTAAAACGAGCAGCCTGGAACAGCTATCGCTACAAACGAGGCACCCCTCACCAGCTATCAGCCCTTATTTCCTTTAAAAGAGCATCTGCCCATCTTCGCCGTACAATCAGAAACAGTAAAACAAATAGCTGGCAAACTTATGTTTCCTTAATTACATCTTCTACATCTATTTCAGCTGTTTGGCGACGGATCCATAAATTATCAGGCAAACATTCCCCCCATCCTGCATTCGTCCTCCATATTCGAGATACTCTCATCTCTGAGCCTATCGAAGTAGCTAATGAACTGGGCAACTATTTCAGCCAGGTCAGTAGTGGCTCTCACCTTTCCCCACACTTTTCTTCCATTAAAGCCATCAAGGAACGCATTCCTATTACCTTCACCCTATCCTCTGATGAGTCCTATAATGCTCCTTTTTCTTCTTCTGAACTCAACGCTGCATTACAGTCGT